TTATTTCATATTGAAGCAGGTAGTAGATGCTATGCTAACCTTGCTGTCTCCCCCAGTTACTCTGCAACATTTACCGTGAGCCAGCCTCATCTTACAAATCAATTCCTCCAGCTCTTTGTGTAATGGGTTTTGTCAACTTTAAGCCTAATTACTTTATGGGACACCTTGCGAAACAAAGCTATTCATGGAGGACAAACCCACTCCACCTCAGCGTGAAACAATCACACATAGATGTTAGATTTCACTTCAGCTTTAGCAAAGGAGAGTTTGAAGGTTCGAAAGTTCTAGAGGAAGACAAACACTAATTTAGAATGACCAAAAGCTTCAGGATCAGAGTAGGCCATCCAGCCCACTGCTCTGTCATCCAGTGAGATCGTGGTCTTCAACTCAACGTTCCTGCCTTTACCCTATAATACTGATTCCCTTGCTAATTAAAATCTGTCTATCTCAGCATTGGATATTCTTAATGACCCAGCCTGGACAGCCCTCTGCAGTAAAGAATTCCACAGATTCACTACACTCTGAGTCACCTCTGTCTTAAATGGATGATCCCTTATTGTGAGATGATATCCTCTGGTCCTAGGTTCTCCCACAAGGGAAATCACCCCTTCTGCACCCACTCTGTCAAGTACCTAAGAATCTGATATGTTTCAATAAAGTCACCACTCATTCTTCTAAATACCAATGAGGACAGGGTCAACCTACTCAAGCTCTCCTCATAATTTGCAAGACCTCCATCATAAAGTTGTAAAATAATTTCTCAATCAGCAGACCCAGTTATGACAGACACATTACAAAGCATCAACAAGGTTTTGAAGTAGTAGTTTCACAACAAGTTGAACTTTGCACTGAGAAAGAACCAGCCCAAACAGGAGCAGACAAAAATGTACAATAACCTGCAAAGTTTCTAATGGAAATGTCACAAAATACTCATGGGTTTCATTTCACTTTAGCTGATGATACAAAATAAGTAAATTCAACTTGACTGCCTGTTACACACCTCACCAATCTCCTCACTACCCATATCCATGGAAAAGAATAGGATACAACATAATAGACACAAAAGTTACCCACAGAGTTTCAGGACAGTTTGGTAATGAGGTGAGCAAGTGCCCAAAAGGTGTGAGGTATAAACCATCAACTTGGGTGTCTTTGGTCTGCCTGAAACTTGTGGGTCTTCCAGAGCAAGAAGTTGACCTTGACTGAGTGTTGCAGACTGACAAATTCCAAGGTCCAGGACTACATGCTGAGGGAAGCACTTAAGCTTGGGGCAGATGCTGCCAAGGCACTGTGGGGAAAGACCACTGTCTGAGGTCTTTCTGCTGAAGTTAAATGGGGATCTGTTCAGTTACTGGAGCCTCCTAGTGCCTCAAATACATGTAAACATAGTATTGTACAAGTAAGAGATGTCTTTAATTTTATTTGTTGGATACAGTCAAACTCCAGTGTTTGTTTGTTTTCTCCACATGCTACCATACAGAACCAAACTGCTTTAGTGACTATGTATGTATAGATATATATATGTTTTATGAATAAAGTATATTTTTAAAATTAAAAAGAAGTGAGGGACTGGAGGTAAACCAAGGCAATAGCAAGGCCATGATCTTTGGGAGCTAGGTCAACCAATCCTTTATCCCTTTCACCGCCAGGACAGATTACCTGAAGGTGCTGGGAATATGGTTTGGAGGGCCAGGATGTGTGCAAAAACTTGGAAGGAGCATATTGCCAAGGTGAGGTAGAAATTGGTCTTTTGAGAGCATTGTACCATCTCCATTATGGGTAAAAGCCTGGTCATCAGGTGTGAGGCTCTCTCTCAGTTATACGTGGTGCAGGTCTGGCCCACCTCACTTCACCTGGAGATCTAAATTGAACACTGAGCCACAGGGAGTCCATAGGCAAAACTCTGGATAAGGCAGGGAAGAATGTGCCCAATGCTGTCCTCAACCTGATGGCCACCTTTGTGTGTGGCTGCATCTAGCTGTGTGTAGACACAAAGTGTCACTACATACTGAGGTTCTACTTGTACCGGGTGTTGCAAAGAATGAGACTGGCCTCGCTGTCGCAGAACGCTCCAAGTAGTTTGACTGTTCTGTATCACCTGTCCTTTGTGGAGAACTTTGCAAAGAAAATCACCTTTGACCACAGGTCCATCAGAAAGTGGTTAGCACATAGCTTCCTCGACACCCTGCGAGAAAAGGAGAGGGTGGATCCTGTTGGGTTGCTCCTGGAGCAGACTGTCAAAGTCATTTGGCAGAATACCTCATCACCAGAACTTTCCAAGAAGCACCAAGACATCATTTGGATGGTGGTAAGAAGGGGATTATCTATGAGATCCTTCATATATGCCGAGACTCTGCACCACTGCACACTGCCCTCAAAGTGGCTGTTGGGAGGGAGAGGAGGGTAGAAACTGTCACACATCTCCTTCTGGAATGTGCCTTTGCAAAGGAAATCTGGGGAAAGATGCATTGGTTTTTGTCAAGATTCGTCCTGAGCAGATCCATGATGCAGGACTCTGTGCTCTATGGTCTGTCTCCCGGGACGCACACCGAAACAAACATCGACTGTGCCTGGAGGACCATCAGCTCAGTGAAAAATGCTTTTTGTTCTGCTCGAACCATGTCGGTCTTCAAGAGCAAGGAGTTGGCCCTGAACAAGTATTGCAGACTGGCACATTCCAAGGTCCAGGACTACAGGCTGAGGGACAGACTAAAGTTTGGGGCAGCTGACGCCAAGGCGCAGTGGGGAAAGACCACCATCTGAGGTCTTTCTGATGAAGTACAACAGGGGTCTGTTCAGTTGTTGGACCCTCCCAATGCCTCAAATGCATGTAAATGTAATATTGCATAAGTAAGAAATGCCTTGAATCTGTTTGCTCTACATATGTAAAGACTGTGTACAGGATTGAACTTCTCTAGTGACCATGTATGTATATAAAGATTTTTATGAATAAAGTATATTTTGAAATAAAAACGTACTTTCTCTGTTGTTGTACATGGCACAGGTCTGGCCCACTCCCAGAACCTGTGCCATTACATTTACTGAGCCATCTTCCACAAAGTAAGCAAGCAAAGATACAACAGTTGGAGTATAACATGGTTAAATGTGAATTTGTTCATTTTGGCAGGAAGAATTAAAAAGTATTATACTAGAGTCATATGGTCATACAGCGCAGAAACAGAATCTTTGGTCCAACCAGTCCATGCTGACTATAATCCCAAACTAAAATAGTCCCACCTGCGTGCGCTTGGCACATATTTCTCCATAGATATCCCATTCATGTACTTATCCAAATGTCTTTTAAATGTTGCAACTCTACCTGTATCCACCACTTCCTCTGGAAGTTCATTCCACACATGCACTACTCTCACAGAATTGCCCCTCACGTCTTTTTCAAATCTTACTCCTCTCATTTTAAAAATATGCCCCCAGTCTTGAAATCCCCTCCCAGAGAAATGACACCTGCCGTTCACCTTATCTATACCCCTCGTGATTTCATAAACCTCACAAGGTCAGCCCTCAACCTCCTATGCTCCAGTGAAAAAAGTCCCAGCCTGTCCAGCCTCTCCTTATAACTCAAAATCTTCCCGGCAACATCCTAGTAAATCATTCTGAATCCTCTCCAATTCATAATATCCTTCCTATAGCCTGGCAACCAGAGCTGTACACAATACTCCAGAAGAGCCCTCACCAACATACTGTATAGCCCCAACATGGTGTCCCAACTCCAATACTCAAAAGTCTGAGCAATGAAGGCAAGCATGCTAAATGCCTTCTTAACCACCTGTCTACATGTGATGCAAGCTTCAAAGAATTATGCATCTGCACCCCTAGGTCTCTGTTCTACAACACTACCTCAGGCTCTACTTTTAATTGTATAGGTTCTGCCCTTGTTGGTTTTAGCAAAATACCTTGAATTTATCCAAATTAAACTCCATCTGCCACTTTCAGCTCATTGGCCCAACTGATTAAGATATCTTTGTAATCTCAGATAACCTTCTTTCCTGTCCACTATACCACCAATTTTGGTGTCATCCACAAACTTACTAATCAAGCCCTCTCCTTTCTCATCTAAATCATTCATATGACATAAATGACAGATGAAATTGGACTCAGCACTGATCCCTGTGGAGCACGGCCGGTAAAAGGCCTCCAGTCTGAGAAACAACCTTCCACCACCACTCTCTGCCTCCTGTTATTAAGCTAATTTTGTATCCAATTGTCAAGCTCACCCTGAATCCCATGTGGTCTAAATTTACTAATTAGTCCACAAAACAGAACCATGTCAAAGGCTTTACTAAAATCCAAGTAAACCTCCACCGTCCATTCCCTGAGTACGCCAGATACCAAACAGATTACTATATTGAGTGAAGCGGGGTAACATGGTGTAGAGCTGGATGAACACAGCAGGCCAAGCAGCATCAGAGGAGCAGAAAGGCTGACGTTTCGGGCCTAGACCCTTCTTCAGAAATGCCTTTTTTTATTCTTCCAGCAGATAGGGAGTTGCTAGCTAGGCTGACATTTATTGCTGAGATAACAAGGTGTAGAGCTGGATGAACACAGCAGGCCAAGCAGCATCAGAGGCCTGCTGTGTTCGTCCAGCTCTACACCTTGTTATATCAGATTCTCCAGCATCTGCAGTTCTTACTATCTCTGTAACATTTATTGCTGTGGCTTTAGTGTCACATATAGACCAGACCAGATAAGGACAGCAGTTTCCTTCCTTAAGGGACACTGGTGAACCAAAGAGATTTTTCCAGCAATGGTTTTATTAGGCTCTTAATCCCAGATTTTTCATTGAATTCATATTCTACCATCTGCCGTGGCAGGATTTGAGCATGGGTCCCCAGAACATTACCTGGGTAACTGGATTACTTGTCCAGTGACAGTACTACTAAGTTATCACCACACAAAAGGAGCAATTTCTAGGTCTTTTCAGGGTTAACCACATCGTTGTGGGTTTGGAGTACTTTGTAGACCAGACTAAGGAAGTGGATTTCCTTCCCTAGAGAGTATCAGCAACAATTGATGATGGTTTCATAGTCACCATGACTGGGACTAGATTTCCATTTCAGAGTTTTCTTCATTGACGCAAAGCTGCAAGGGTGGAATTTGAACCCATGACCCCAAAGCACTACCCTGACCACCTGGATCACTGGGCCAGTGACATTGCCACTGAACCACAATCAGCTCATGCTCTGAAAGCCTTTAAACTAGATATTAAAGCCCCATGCCTGCCAGCAGTACTCACAATGTATTTGTCCCCGTCTGCTTCTTCAGCGTTTGCAACGAGTATTTTAGAATCTGGTTCAAACTCTAGAGGTTCCCATGACCTTTTGAATTTAAGTCGTTGGGGCCTCTGACATTGCTGGTTCAGGGTCACCGAATTTCCTTCAACACGGAGCCCAAAATGTGTCCACCTTTTGATCCTGGCCGGCACTTTGAAGGAAGTTGCTTTTCTGGAAGCATCAGAATATGGAGGGGTGTAATAAAGTTCGATATGTTGCATGCCATCTTCCACTGGGGATAACTTAACTCCGAGGCTAATGACCTTCCCAGAAGAATCCACGACTGCAAAGATCACCCCACCCTTCAAATTGGTTTGCTTCAGTGTGACTAGGATGGCAAAATCCTTGTAAAATGGCTCTGGAAAGACAGTTTGAATTAAGCGTGGTGTGGGGGTGAAATCTTTGTGGAAATTCAACCCAGTTCTCCCACCCAGCCCTTCTGTCTTGGATACACCTGGAGAGTCTTCAGGAACCAGACTGAACAGATTGATGTCCTCCTGTAGTTCAATACCTGGAAGATAAACATCGTATTTAGTGAATGTGTGAGGGAAAGAAGCAGGCTTTATCCTATAGCCCCTGACAGCACAGCTCCAGTACTGGAAAAGCAGAAAGATAAATGGCAAGAGATAGTAGGAACTGCAGATACTGGAGAATCTGAGACAACAAGGTGCAGGGCTGGATGAACACAGCAGGCCAAGCAGCATCATAGGAGCAGAGGCAAGGCAAGCAAGCAACCAATGCCAAATGCAATGTTCTGCGTTTAATCGGAATCATATAGGGCACAGTTTATTGTCATCCCAAAATGAGTCGAACAATGGAGTGGGCATTTAATCAGTCATAGAATCCCTACAGTGTGAAAACAGGCCATTCAGCCCAATGAGTCCACACTGACCCTCTGTAGAGCACCCGCCCACCCTATCCCTGTAACGCTGCATTTCCCACGGCCCAGTTAGCCTGGACATCACAGGGCAATTTAGCATGGCCGATCCATCTAACCTGCACATCTTTGGACGGAAACCCACACAGACACGGGGAGAATGTGCAAACTCCACACAGACAGTCGGCTGAGGATGGAATCGAACCTAGGTCCCTGGTGCTTTGAGGCAGCAGTGCTAACCACTAATCGCTGAGCCATTGTGCCACCTTAAAGGGAGAGGGTGGCAGATGCAGTGTTCAATTGTCCTGTGTTTGATTATATGAGTCTGCTACTATTGATGCTCACTGTGCTTGGTTAGTTAAGCCTGGGTGCTAACTTAGAAAAATAGTAAGCTCTAAATGTGCTGGAAGCCAGAACTGTAAGCATGGAGTCGACATTTTAAAGCATTGCATAGAACTCTTTGTAAATAAAGTTCCTACACCTGTGGAACTGGATAGATGAATGGGCAACAAATGAACTCTGCACAGATCCAAAGTATAAACTGAACTTTCCTACTTCTGCCACAATTAAGTTTGTTTTAAAATTCTTTAATAGTATGTGGATGTCACTGGCTAGACCAGCATTTATTGCCATCCTCATTGTCCAACATGGAGTCAAGAATCAACCACATTGCTATAGGCCTGGAGTCACATGTAGACCAGCTAAAGATGCCTAAAGGGCATTAATGAATGAGATTGACTCTTATAACACTTCTTACAAACATTGGTGCCATGGTCACAATTAGGCTAGCTTTTTAATTCTAGATTTCTAGGTGAAATCAAATTTCATCATGTCATGGTGGGATTTAAATCCATTTTCCTGGAACATTAGTTAACGATTCTGGATTACTAACCCAATGCCACTACCACAACTGGGGTGGATGACTTGTACGCAGCTCTTTAGTGAACAGAGCCTCATCACGTTGCTGCTATTGGGCATACAAGAGTTTCACATGCGGCTAAGCCCTCTCTGAGTTATTTACAGACTCCAGGTGGAGCCATTCCCTTGTTCAAAGCTACTCAGTACCTGCCTGAGGAGTTCTGAGATGGGAGGTGTGGGGACAGGGGCTTAGTGAGGGCCTCCCTTCTGCCTTGGCTGCTGACCTCCCTTCCTCTGCTCCCCCATGAACATCGCCCCACTGTCACTCATCAATGGCTGAGATGCCTCCTCGACTCCGTGCCTATGGCATTATCATCAACTGCCACCATTCCTGTTGGCGTTGCCAAGTAATGCACAGTTTCTTATTGGCCAGCAGCCCTCAGCTAGTGAAGGCTCCTGATCCCGGGAAGGTGTCTTGCCTCGTGAGAGGATCGCTTAATACAGTGAGTCTGCTCAAAATGAGGAGAGACACAGGGATCTGCCCAGTCACCTCATCACCTCCATAAATACTGTCTATCACCGCTCAATGTATAAGAACAAAATTGTCCATTGACTGCTGTGTTTTTTGAGAAAAAATTTCCTAACCTCCCTCTTCCTAGATTTTATAGATAAGAAACTCTGGGCAGACAGAAGAACATAAGAAATTGTAACCCAAGTATGCCATTCAGCCCCTTGAGCCTACTCCAATCCTTAAAGTCATCTTCTCACTCAATCATCCACATTATCTCCCCATATCCTTTAATTTCCTCAGGGTCCAAACATTTATCAATTTCCAATCTTAAATATACTCAAGAACTGAGCATCCCAGTTGTTGAGTTAGAAAAATCCGATCTTCATAAATCTTTAAGCTAAGCCTTTTCCTCCTCACTTCAGTCGTCAAAGGCCACACCCATCCTCCCCCTGTAGCTGAGGCTGCGATCCTTGGTTTTAGACTTCATGGACAGGAGAGACGTCCTCACAACATGAACAATGTCAAATGCCTGAAGAATTTTACGTATCAATGAGGTCACCTCTCAATTCTAGGCACACTTGGCCTAAAATACTGAAATACCCCTTGTAGGACCATTCCCTCATCCCAGGTATCAGTCTGGCGGGTCTTTGTTGGAGTCCTTCCAGGTCAAGTTACTAAAGGTGGATATTTCCTAATCTACTTGATAAAAGATATCATTACACACCTCTGGAGCAGGTAGGGATTTGAACCAGGTCTCCTAGCTCAGAGGCACAGACACTACACTGTATCATGAGAGTCCCAACATTGTTAAGTTCATAATCTTACTCAAGACCTTATGATCTTACAAAGGCAAGTGATGACAAACCCCTTTGTTTCATTTTTGGTTGCTGTTAGAAAAGTAAATCGCTCTAACAGACCTGGTTCCTGTCCTAACCCCAATGTTGTGCTGATCTTGCCAGCTGCCAGCCGGTAACATTGGATCAGTTTCTGACCACAGTGACTGCTGGAAATGGAAACCGACAAAGCTGTTCCCTTGACACATCCCTGTCCCTCCACTACCCTTCATCCCTATTCCCCCAACCCCACACTCAAGCTGGTTAATAGGCCTGCTCCCCTGTATCAGGGACTTCAATATAAAAGCACCTTCAGTGAACATTTTTATTTCTGTTCATCCACTGACTATTGGCCCTGGTATAAGTTTTGAAAATGAGTACCAGCAGGCTATTTATTTGCACAGGTCATGAACACAATTGGGCCATTTCTGCCCTTCAAACCCACTGTACACTTTCTCTCTTGTCTTTTTCTACTTTGCACCTCATATGAGAGATTTACTTTGCACTTACAACACCAAGGCTGGATTTATGCAATTTGGAAAAGAAATATTAATGGAATAAGATTGCAGAGAACTCAACATGCACCCAAATCACTTTTCCAAAAAATATCTTTCCGGTATGGGGGCATTGTTGACAATAACAACAACAACTTGGACTTATGAAGCACCTTTAATGTAGTAATTTAACGGAGACATTTTAAGAGAACTCTTTGACATCACACCACATCAGGAGATATTAAAGGGGTGACTAAAAGTTTGGGGTGAAGAATCAGGTTATGAAGAGGGAGGAAGAGATGCAGAGAGGTTTAGAAGGATATTCTGGACTATGCGGTCTATGTAACTGCTGCCACTTCCACCCAATAGCAAGAGCAATATTTATTCCCATCCCCATTCCTGGTTGTAGTGGCCACTTCATAAGTCTGTTAAATGGTGTGGGACTGGAGTCACATGTTCACTAGACCAAGTATGGACAAGGTCAGAAATCACACGACACCAGGTTATAGCCCAACAGGTTTATTTGAAAACACAAGCTTTCAGAGTCTCACTCCTTCTTCAGGTGTTAGTGAGAGAGATAGTATCTGACACAGAATTTATAAGTAAAAGATCAAAGGGCCACACCACTGATGAGGGCGTATTAAACAAACCTAAGATGCTGTTAAATCTTTAATCAGTTAGAAGGTTTTAATTGATTCATTTGATTTAATTGATTGTTTTCAAATAAACCTGTTGGACTATAACCTGATGTTGTGTGATTTCTGACCTTGTCCACCCCAGACCAACACTGGCACCTCCACATCATAGACCAAATATGGGCAGAACGTTTTTCAACAAGGTGTAAATGCCACTCTGGAGTAGATAAAGTTTTAGCATTTAAAATGTCAGGTTTCTGTAAATTACACAGTCAGTGGACTGGACTGAACTGGAGGTGTTATGACTAATCCCTGCCAACAACCTTGTGTAACAAGATAATCGCAGCCTTTGATGTTCGATTTGCTGTTGTATACACAAAACAATGTCTTTTATCATAAGAAGAAACCTGATGTGTTAGAAAGTACAACTGACCTCAGAATACAAAGAACTTTGAAGGGAAGGTGCAGAAAGTTTAGGGAGCAATTCTCTAGAGTATCTGCCAACTATATATGCCAGAAGTCCTTTCCTACCTAAGGGTGCATTAACTTTCCAACAATATCATTGGCACAAAGTGGTTTAACTTTGCACGTCGCTCCACTACAGTGGTCGCGTTAATCCAGATTCAAGAATCAATTTGATTCGGGAACTAGGCAGATTACAATTTCCTGGAGGAAAGAATTCAGGAACATCTGGATAGCCTATTAGAATAATCCAGCCTATCAACTCCATTTACAAAATGTGTGTTATCAGTTGGCATCTTGTCCTAATTTTAGTGCTTGACTCAGTAAAGAAATGTCCTCACTCCCTTTCTCCATTTGAAAAATTAGGGCAAAGAGGACCAGTTTCAAGGGGCAATGTCACATGTCTTGGTTAAACGTGATGCCATATTGGTAAAGACAGCTGTATAGGGCATGTATCCATTCAGGTTAAAATAGTTGTTCTTGTCTGAACCGCTACATTAAATGTTGCAAGCAAGCCTTTCCACCTGAAGGTTCCCAAAGCTCTTGACTCAAGCACTATTATTTTCAACAGACCAGTTGAGTGATTATCTGGGCACAGCGGCGTCTGTAAGTTAGAAACAAAAAGTGAATTCAAGGGGAAATTTCATGATAACGAGTAGTTGACATTAGAGACTCTTGAAGGAGCCATAATAATAGTGCATGTGGTGAAAGTGTAAGAACAGGCCAAAACTGATAACAGCTTCAGATAGTGTGTCTGGCTAAACAGATTAGGACGGAAATGAAGACAAAAGCGAGGCAGGGAGCCAGACTCTATGTCTCAGACAACAAGATCAATCTTGAG